TTATATTTAGAATCAAGTAATGAATTAGTGTTAACTGCATATGCTGATGCAAGTTTTGCTACTGATATAATGACTTGTAAGTCAACATCAGGTATAGTGGTAATGTTGGATAATGCTTTAATAGGATGGAAGTCTATTAGGCAACAACATATTAGATTATCCACTATGGAAGCGGAATTCTCATGTTTATCATTAATGTGTATAGAATTGATATATTATGAACAATTGTTGAAGGATATTGGAATTACTGTACGTGATCCATTTATTGTTTATGAAGACAATCAATCTGCAATTAATATGGCTACTAATTTAGCTGTTAAAACAAGGTCTAAACATACTGATTTGAGATATTTGAACGTTAGACAGTGTGTTCAGAATAAATTAATTCAGTTAGACTACTGCATGACTGAACATAATATTGCGGATCATTTCATGAAAACTCAAAGTGCAATTAAGCATAAAGAGTGTTATGAGAATTATGGTTTAAAGATGTAATGTATTATATATTGACCAACCCAAAGGACTTTAAATGTTTAAATGTTAGGAATTATTGGTTTATATATTGCCAATCCAACTAATTGATGGACAGCCACCAATTAGTTGGGTTGGCAATATATAAACCAACAATGTATGTTTGTAGCTTTAAAACAAAATCACTGTATTAATTTATACTATATTCCAATTGGTTGATTATATTGCAAATTACCATAAGAGGGAGCTAGAGATCAGAGCTTGCTCTCTCTGACATTCTGTCTCTCTGACATTCTGTCTCTCTGACATTCTGTTCCTATCTAAGGTTCTCTGTTGTATTTATACTGTGCTTATATTTTGATAACTTTGTTTACTGTAAATGACAAAGGCAACCGGTAAGAAGATTTTGTAATTGGATATTCCTTGGACTGTTAAACGTATATGACCTGGACCATTTATTGGACTGTGCTATTTCTTAAAGTAAACTTTAGGTCAATTTAGTATATCTGTGTGTGGCTGAATAATTATTCTTAACTACTCTCATAAATGTTTTCATGTGCATATCCTTGTTACTCAAGGGTTATTCTGTAAATATCATAACATTTACCCATATGTAAAACCTTGTTTTTCTTCACATTAAATTTTATTTTGTTGGATAATGTTCATTGTTCAAGTCTGTCAAGATCTTTTTAGATTCTTGTCTTCTAGAGCAGGGGTCTTTAAACTTGACAGCTTTAAGACTTGTGGACTTCAACTCCCAGAAATCCTCCTCCAGTCATGTTAGCTTAGGAATTCTGGGAGTTGAAGTCCTCAAGTCTTAAACGTGCCAAGTTTGAAGACCTTTGTTCTAGAGTGTTGGCTATTCCTGCCAGTTTAGTGTCATCTGCAATTTTGATGAATTCCCCTTCTATTCCCTCATCTAAGTCATTTATGAAGATATTGAAGAATACTGGGCCTAAGACGAAACCTGCTTACTTTCCTCCACGTAGATGTAGTACCATTAAGGACTACTCAATGAGTATGGTTTGTCAGCCAGTTACAAATCCATCTGATAGTGATGCTGTCTATCCCACTTTTTTGTAGCTTACCAAAGTGGTAAGTGGTCTACTTTGTCAAATGCCTTACTGAAGTCTAATTATACTATGCCAATAGTATTTTGCTGGTCTACTAATTTAGTTGCTTTGTCAAAGAATAAAATAAAATTGGTTTGGCATTATCTGTTTTTAACAAACCTATGCTGGCTAGTAGTTTTAACTTTATTTGTTTTTAGAGTTGATGTAGTTCCCATCTTCAAAAAAGGGGGAAAAAACAGACCCAGGAAACTATAGACCAATCAGCCTAACATCAATACCCGGGAAGATACTGGAAAAGATAATTAAAAAAAAAAACAGATCTGCCAACATCTAGAAACAAGTAAAGTAATAACTAGCAGTCAGCATGGGTTTGTTAAGAACAGATCGTGCCAAACCAATCTTATTTCATTCTTCAATATAGTGACTAAATTAGTAGACCAGCAAAATACTGTGGACATAATCTATTTAGATTTCAGCAAGGCATTTGACAAAGTAGACCACAACTTAATTCTTAGTAAGCTAGAAAAAAGTGGAATAGATAGCACCACCACTAGATGGACTCGCAACTGGCTGACAAACCGTACTCAATGAGTAGTCCTTAATGGGTCAAAGTCTACATGGAGGGAAGTATGCAGTGGGGTGCCACAAGGTTCTGTCTTAGGCCCAGTACTCTTCAATATCTTCATTAACGACTTAGATGAGGGAGTAGAAGGAGAACTTACCAAATTTGCAGATGATACTAAGCAGGCAGGAATAGCTAACACCCAAGAAGATAGGTTTAAGATCCAGATGGATCTTGACAGACTAGAACACTGGGCCGTATCTAACAAAATGAAATTCAATGTAGAGAAAAGTAAAGTCCTACCACTTAGGCAAGAAAAACCAAAAGAACACATATAGACTGGGTGAAACCAGGCTCAATAGCAGTAACTGTGAGAGGGATCTTGGAGTCTTAGTGGACAACCAGCTAAATATAAGCCAGCAGTGTGCAGCAGCAGCCAAAAAAGCTAATGCAATCCTAAATTGCATTAACAGAGGGATACAATCGAGATCAAGTGAGGTACTAATACCACTCTATAAAGCCTTAGTAAGACTACACCTAGAGTACTGCATCCAGTTTTGGTCACCACATTATAAAAGAGATGTTGAGACTCTAGAAAAAGTGCATAGAAGAGCAACCAGGATGATTAGGGGACTGGAGACTAAGGCATATGAAGAACGGTTACAGGAACTGGGCTTGGCTAGTCAAGTGAAGAGAAGGACCAGGGGAGACATGATAGCTGTCTTCCAATATTTGAGGGGCTTCCACAGAGAGGAAGGGGTCAATCTATTTTCTAAAGTGCCTGTAGGCCACACAAGGAACAATGTATGGAAACTGAACAAGGAGAGATTTAACCTGGAAATAAGGAGAAACTTTCTGACAGTGAGACCAATCAACCAATGGAACAGCTTGCCCTTGGAAGTTGTGGGAGCGTCATCACTTGAGACCTTCAAGAAGAGATTGGACTGCTATTTGTAAGAAATGGTGTAGGGTCTCCCGCTTGGGCAGGGGGTTCGACTAGATGACCTTTTAGGTACCTTCCAATTCTGTTTATCTGTCTGTCTCTGTCTCTGTCTCTGTCTCTCTCTCCCTCTCTCCCCCTCCCTCTCTCTCTCCTCAGTAATCTCAGGAAGAAGAGGCACTGGTGAGTTTTCTTAATCAGACTAGTGGTGTTAATCTGCCAGGACAAGCCCTCAGAGGGGTGGATCCCCAGGAACTTGAAGCTGGTGACACATTCTCCCATTCATGTATATAGGAGAGTGTGTGTGACCATTCTTTTTCCTGAAGTCCACAATGAGCTCTTTGGTCTTGTTAGTATTAAGTAATAAGTTATTGTCAGCGCACCACGTAGCTAGGCACTGCACCTCCTCCCTATAGTATCTTTTTGTATGAAGACTGATGCAAATAATGAGTTAAGCAGCTCTGCTTTCTCTCTAGTCTGTTACTTCCTTGCCATCTTCTCTCTTTAATACACCAACTGTTTCCTTGACATTTTTCTTGTTACTTATATGTTGAAAGAAAGTTTGTTTTTATTATCTTTGACTTTTGTTGCAAGTCTTTGTTCATTCTGTGCCTTTCCTGACTTCATCTTTGCAGATTTAGGCTATCTGTTGATATTCTACCTTAATTATATGTCCCTCTTTCCATTTTTTGTACTTATCCTTTTTGTCTTTCAGTTTATCAGATGCTGGTTTCTTCTTGGATTTTTTGTTTTTCTTTTTCTTCCCTAGCTGTTCATAATCTGTTATTGATTTCAAATTCATTGTTGTGTCATTGGTCCTCATGTGTAGGAGAATAAAGAGGTAGTAATCTGTGGGGTTGATTGTTTCAGTAAGGTACTCAGTTACATTTTAATTTTTGCTCCAGGGATTCTGTGATATCACTTAGTTTTTGGCAGTGCTTGTCTTCAAAGCTGGTGTATTAATATAGAGGTACTCCTGACTGAATGTAATAGGAACAGGTAAGAATAGAAAGAGCGGATTTGCCATTTTCTTTATCGTTATGTTGTATATTTTATCCTTTTGACTGCATTGTGTTGCTTCATTTTTGGGCTATGAATTGCTCAAAGTCAATTGGAAATGAGCGACAGCTAAGTTAAATAAAGTAAATAAATAAATAATTTTGCGTGGATGGAACTGAAGAATGTGGTGAGATCCCTGGGATGCAAAAATACTGTTAAATTTATTTATTTTATTCAGCGTCTGGCAAATACATGGACTTACAGTAGTTCAAATGTTAATGTCCAGTCCCCCCAGCCATTCAAGGACAGAGTGGTCTATGTTGAAAAAAAATCAGACATTGGACCGATATAAGCTGTTGATGGACATTCGGATACAATGTGATGGATATTTTGACCACAGTCACATTAAGAGGTAGAGACAAGACCCCACTTAAACAATGAGTCCTGACAGACACCATGTTGGGTATGGATCCTGTTCAGAGTTGACCAATGCTGGCAAGGAAGGTCAAAACTGGCATATTTTATTTAGGATCATCTATGTAACTGCCTGTATCTGAGTGTTCAGCAGCTCATTTGGCTTTCCACTGAATGTTGATGTCAAAGTTGTTAGACAGCTATTGAATGAGTGCCAGAGAGGGCTTTCTGGATTTAAGCCTGCCAACTGATAGATGAGGAAGATCAGTGTGCACAGGAAGAAATAGATTTCTCATAATTTGGTTGTACTCCTTCACTAAGGCTTCCTGCCTTCATAGAGGTAGTGATGCAATGTGACTCAAGACGGGGATAATTAATTAGGGGATAAGTAATTAGGAGTAGATTTTATGCAGCCGCTTATGATCCTCATTGTATCATTTAGTCTAGCATTGATCTTGCTAGTGTGGCAGCTATTAAGCCAATACTGTTAAATATTAGCATATAAGAGCAAAATTTGGGATTCAGTATCAGCTATCCTTACCTATGGCTTTCCTGTAACATCTCTGTCAGTTCTCGCATCTTGTTAAAATTTTGGAGATGTTTCTTCATACTAGCATTCTCATCAAGTAAAAGTTGGTCTTCAAAATCTAATGCAAGAGTAAAAAAAAAAAGAACTTGATTTACAAACACACAAATATTACGCATGGAATAGTTGGAAAACTAAAAAGGAAACAAACATGAAAAAGATTATGAGTTTGTTTATGAATTTCCACTTTTTATTTTTCTCCAAGCCAATTCACACAGGTAGTCATCTGGGTATGTACCAAGACTAGCCTGTGGTATATCTGACTTTTAGAAGAATCAACTGTATCATATGATATAGTACCATTTCCATTGATCAGCTATTCTGATCTTGACAGAATTAAATTCTGGTCACCAGGATACAAAACAATATTGAGACCATAGAAAGAGTGCAGAGAAGAACAAAAAGATCATAAGTGGTCAGGAGGCTAAACCGTAACAAATTTCAATTTAGTTTTTGTTCTTGGATACAAAGTGTGTTTTCCTAATCATTTGTGCCTACAATAAATAGAAAATAACTACTGTTCCACAAAAATTTTGCTTCTATGATCAGAGCACTGATATTTTAAATTTATCTGTTTTCAAGAACATTCTCAATTCACATTCAATACTGAGTAGATTTCTAGAATATTATGGAACTGTGAGAACTGTCCAAGATTTTATAGAATTTGCCAGAATTTCTAGAACTTTCTGGAATTTCCTAGAACTTTCTAACACTTTCTAGGAGTATCCAAAGAAATATAAAAGTACAGGTGTTACACCAACATTTTTGCTTGTCTAATTGCTGAGTAAGAGAATTGTGAATATTAATATTTTATTTAAAGGGCATCAAGAAGTTGTTTGCACCCAGCAGATGCATTTTGCTATGTGTATGGACAATTTATCAAGACAAGAGTGAAAAAAGTAGTCTTCGAAAACATCTGTTAAGATGTGTGAGGCCTACAAGGCATACTTTGGCATGCCTGCCAGGGATCAAGACAAGTCCTGGGCACCTCATTTCACATGCAAACACTGCAAAAAAAAAAAAAAAGAAGTAGAAGTGTTGAAGATAAGATGAAGAATTGCTGCTTACTAGATAAAATGCCAGTGATTTATTACCATTTTAAATAGTTGCAATTAAGAAAATTTTCACTGTTTTCAATGTTCTAGGAAAATACAGACTACAATATATATTTTATTCCCCATGGCAATATCTTGCACAATATTAGGTAATGTGTGAAATAGCAATTGTTAAAAAATTATATAATTCTGCTATGTTTACAGGCTGAATGGAGAAAAAAAAAAGAGAGCCATGAAGCTTGTTATTCCAAGAATTTGATGGGAACCAACTGACCACTCAAACAACTGCTACTTCTACATGGTGAACCCTTCCAATCATTAAACTGGCAAGAGTGCATTTCCTGTCATGTATCCATCCATTGTCCCGAGCACTATCCTGAGCTCCCTGGTACCATCCCTTCAGAGAGGAATCAGCCATCTTCAAGAGAGAGAAGCAACTCAGACAGCAAGAAAGACATTGCAGATACAGATTATAATTTCACAGATGCATCTGAGGAGAGAAAGTCATACTTCCTCAACCACAAAAATCACAAAATCAAAATTTTGTGATAAATATAGCCATTTTTGCATAGGCTTTAGATATAAACAATTGAAATATAACACTGATAAACTGGGAACAAAAATTGTGTTACAGTTATTACAGTGTTATATTTTCTAGGATCTTCCCGAGTATTGATGTTAGACTGATTGGTCTATAGTTTCTTTTCCCCGTTTTTTGAAGATGGGAACCACATCAATGGTTTTCCAATCCTCTGGTAGTTCCTCGGTGCTCCGGGATCTTTGAACGGTTTAATGGTTTTGAGATCACTTCTGCCAGCTGCTTCAAAACTCTGGGATGCATTAGTATATTTCCTTGATAATAAATTCTTGTTAACATTGATATTCAAAACATATATAATCAATTTTGACAATGTCAATGGAAAATGAAATTTTTCCTTAGATGAAGGGATTCTATGAGATCACAACTTTAGATAGATCCCATCTTTCAGGAACTCAAAGTAGAAGCAAAGCTTCAACAAACTGAACTTGTTACTTTGACTCTGACTTTTTAAACAAAGAAAAGATATTTACTTATTTCTATTTCTATGATACATTCAATATTAGTAAAACTAGCAATATGGTTTGTATTTTAGTATATATAGATAAAGGCTATAATTAATTTTAACTATAACCAGACAGTGAAAAGTTAATTGGAACAAACATTTTCCTAGAATTTACCAGTAATCTGTAATGATGCTGTATCAGCAGTATCTGAAATATGAATGCTTTCTTCCATTTTGAATTTATCAGCTTTTAAGCCTTCTTTTTCTTTCAGTAACTTATTTAAATGTTGTTTCAGTACACCCTAAGGTTAGGAGAGTAAAGAAAACAGATGAACACAATTAAATTAAAATTTTGTGACTAGTTAGAAAAACAAGCTGAAAATGAAAGAATCAAATTTAATAGAAATAAGTGAAAAAGTCTTCATTTAGGAAACAAAATTAAAATAAATATATTGGGCCTGCTTTATAGTTCAGTCCCATGAGACAAAGGAAACAAATTCCATGTTGATTGGCTGTCGCTGCTGCCTTCATGTCCCAATCCCTGAAACCGCTCATTCAAACTAGCAGCAAGCAGAAGGGCCATCCAGGTTGGGACCAAATGAGGCCTGCAGGGATGCTGGCCTCGTGGCAAGAAAGTGGCTGACTTTTACTCACTTTTACTGGCAAGGTTATTTTCCTTAGCTCTTGCATTGTTATAGTTTTACTACCATCTAAGTAAAAGATGGCCCAATTTTGCACATGGGCCAGCCTATTCTGGAATTCTGAAGATCTTTGAAAAAATAAAAGAGCGATTGGAAATGGGGTGGGGAGAAGCAATTGGCATCTGGGAGTTTAGCAAAGCAAGGCCAGTACCTGTGGAGACCCGCAGGGCAGGATGGGGAAAGAGGAAGCAACTATTGGGACACCCAACCAATCGCTCAGGATTAAACCAAAATGCACTGCGCAGCGCTCCCAGGTACCTCAAAATGTTTTTTTCCCCTATTGTTGCGGGGATGGGGGAAAAGCTGGAGCGACTCAGATGCCATTGTTGGAGATGGCGCTGGCGAGAGAGGCATCAGTGCTGGCGGGAATCGTGGAAGCTATGGAGGCCCGAGAAGCATCTGAAACACTGCCGGTGGACATCCACACTGCCGCCGCCCGCCCGCTGACCCGGGTCTGCAGCAAAGGCACTTGGCAGGTGTAGGGAGTCCTCCGCGCTCCGCCATGATCAGCCGTTAGGAGCGGTTGGTGGCGAGGCGTGGCTGCCCATGGGGCGCTTCTAACGGCAAGTCCCCTTGCCCTTCCTCCCCATTTCGCATGTTTTAAAATAGGCCTAAATTTGGGGGAGGGGCTTAATTTCATTTTATGCTTAGAAAACATGTGGGACTTCCTATTGGGGGGGGGCGTATTGTTGGAGAAACATGGTGTGTGTGTGTGTGTGTGTTTAAAAAGTTGGGTTTTGTGTTTATGGATTATATTAAATATTTGTAACTTTACATACCTGAAAATATTTGGAACATGTTGAAATAAAGTACAATTAAAACTTAGGCATGCTTAAGAAAAATGAACTGATGAAGGGTTAATAAGTTCTATTAAATTCCTGCCCTAGCATAGGATTATTAGTAATAGTATAATTACAATTAAATACACATCAATTCTCTCACACAAAAAGTTTTAAAGTATTAAAGAAAATACTATATTCTGCTCACCATATCTTTCTTAGTTTTGCTCAACTCTGACTTTAGATTTTTAATCCTGATGCTATATTGTGTCTCTTGTTGAGATAAACACTGTTGTAAGGCTTCTTTCTCTAAGATAAGTTTATTCACCTCTTCATTCTCTGTTGAAGAATGTTTCTCTTGACCTGCTGGCAGAGATTTCTGAACTGCAGACAAAACCATTTCCGCTTGAGCTGAGATGTAAAGAAATTTATCTAAGTCTATAATTAGCAAGAACAGAAAATTAAACAAAATAAAGTGCCTTCATAAAATACTGGATGTTAGAAAATTCATTTTCCGATTCTGTTGGATTGTTATAGATAGCGTGTCTTACTGTATATTATTCCAGCAAAAAATAGAACTGAGTTTTGATTGAAGTACCACTTTAAAATCAGTAAGCTGATTGCAAGATCAGTCAAGATCATTTGATAATAAACGTTAGTATTGATACTATTATTTTTCAGGAAAAGATTGGGTACTCTTATTAGCATTTGCATGTCTGAAGTAATTAATGTAGACAAAGAAAAACATTTACTTTACCAAAAAAAAACACCTCATAGGTAATTAAGGTTACCTAGGTCCAGACCTATATAATAAGCCACCAGTTCCACAGACTGGGCTTGAGAAATAAAAGGGGTGCTAAACCTTGGAAACATAAGGAGCCTTGTTGATAAAGGACAGCAGCAATTTAAAGAGCGCTGTGAAGAATACAGTCATCAAGCCAGAGACAGTCTGGTAAAAAGTCCATCCCAGATCATCTGGATTAGGAGCTGAATGGACTGAGCCCTCCAGCAAGGTACTATGTCTATGATCAGGATACAAGACCAGCAGTTCCCAATATGGCTACTGCACGGTAAGAGTCTTTCTTCTCTCTTGCCGACAATCTGCTGATGTTCTCTGGCAGTGCTCCTCCCTGGATTTGAATGGGAGCACTTAGGAATGACCCAAGACAGGCATGGACCCACCTGGGGAGGGGAATCTTGAAGATTCTAGTTCCCCATGGGAAGGGTTGGAAAGTCCCAGGGCTTTCCTCCTTTCCTTCCTCATCCTCCTTTTCAGCAGTTTGTTTTCTAAGGAAGTCTGAGTATTAACTTTCACTTTTTGAGTGTATTGTTTTATTATGCTTTTTGTCCTTAAAAGTTCTAGCTGTTCTTTTTTTTGTTTCCCTTTCATTTATGCTGCTGCTTAGAATAACTTCTGCTTTCCTCATAAGGAAAAATGGCATGTTTTGAGACGGTGAAATGCTTTCACTTGATTTACATCAGACTTTCACCACAGGATTTTTGCATTTTTTTATATTTGCAAAATATTCTGAGTTTATTTCATTTGAATTTTTCTTTCAAATGGGTGAAATATCTAGAAATACTTCTGATTCAGTGTTCTTTTTCTTTGTTCTCTGATCAAGTTACACAGAGCAACAAGTTATCTCATTACAGACAAGCAGTGGTAGTTGAAATATGAGAAAATACCTTCTGGAAACATGCAATTTTTAGTTGAGAGCTTTTTTAAAAAGTTTGATGAGATGATAATGGTTGTGGAAAATATGCAGAGGCATGTAGCTTTGAACAAGTTAGATTCACAAAAGGATACTGATATGAAAGTTGCAGACCAAAGGGATATAGACCCCTTGATTGAAGGGACTGATGGTAATATGCCTCACTCGAAATTACATGTCATTGCTCTCCCACCCCCAAGCCATCAAATCCAAATTGTATCTCCCACTGTGAGCTGTGCTAGAGATAACTAGTCAGGTTTTTGGTCACCATGCTGGCTATCAACTCATAAACAGACTGGAATAGAAGATTAAAGACCCATGTAATCCCATAAACCCAGAGAACTCTACTGCCAATCCACCCATGGCCTTAAAACAATTAGAGAGATTGTTATGAGAGGCTGTATTCTAGCCTCAGTTTTGATTCTCAGCCCACCTTCACAAACATGGAATTAAAATTGGCTATCTACTGAACAGCAGTCCTGTAAGACATTTGGAATATTTGATAAAAATAGTTATACTTTTGCATAGGCATCCCAGTTGGATGTCTCAACATTATGAATAGAAATTGCCTATTATTAAAAAGAATGACCGTCATCTGATAAGTGATATTCAACTTGTTATTTGCTGGGCACCCTTGCCTTGAAGGGTGATAATCTCAAATAACTTAGTTGTTAAAAGCAGAAGTAACCACATCATCAGAGAAAAGTAATCAAATCATCAGAGAGGGTAATTGAATTCCAGCATTCATTCTTACCTAAAAAAATCTCATTGTAATGGAGTGATTTGGAACCATTCCAGTATTTGTCAACCAAGTCAAGTAAACATTGCATGGGTGTTGCGTCATATACATTTTTATTTATCAAATGGGTTGTTCCTTGAGGTAGTGCCTTAAATGAAACAAATATATTACAATTTATTTAGTATGAACCTTATGTGCAGAAAGCAGATTAAAATAAAAACTAAATTAGTAACTAATTACAGTGCATGTAAAAATTAAATTGCAACTCGCTCTTTCACTTTTTCTGAAAAAACTAAATCTGAAAAAGATGGACATAATTTATAATGAGGTGGTTCACATAAAATGCACTATGGATTCTGTATTCCTTCTATTCCCTTTTAGGTGTAATATATTTGACTGAAGACTATCTTAGATACTTTGCACATAAATGTCATCGGATTTACAAAACCCAGTTCTTAATTCAATAAAGAGCATCTTTTTCAATAAACAATATTGTAGTTTATTCATTGACACTTTGCATACTATTTTAAAACTTCAGCTTCAAATGATTAAGAATTAAAGCACTGTATTTAACTCAACCCTGTAATACTCTAATATCTAGCCATATTTAATAAACTACTTTTCAAATTATCGGTTTCAAATGGAATATGAGAAAATGAATTTATAAAGCTAATTATTTCTAAGTTCTCTGGCCAATGGGTTGTACAGATAAATAAGATAATATTAAGAAATTATTACTTTTAAATGGGAATAATTAGTATACAACTATTGTGATTTTAGGAATGCCTATTCCCAAAGGGGGGCATGATAGCTCAGTGATTAAAGATGCTGAGCTTGTCAGTTGGAAAACTAACAGCGTAGATTCAAGAGCAGAGCATTGCTAACAGGATGAGCTCCCAGTGATGGTCCAAGCTCCTGCCAACCTAGCAGTTTTAAAGCATGTAAGTGCAAGTAAATAAATGGATACTACTTTTGTAGGAAGGTAACAACATTCCATGCGCTTTGGCATATAATAAGGCTGGCCACATGACCTTGGAAGCATCTTTAGACAATGCAGGCTCCCTTGGTTAAGAAAGGGAGATGACACTGCCCCTAGACTCAGACAGGACTGGACAGGGGAAACCTTTACTTTTACCTTTATTTCACAGAACCCAAAAATGCAAAATAATGAAATACATATCTAAACAACATGTTAAAATACCTATTCAATTAATAACATGAACCGAGTCAATCAAAGCCAGGTTAACATTAAAATCTTGAAACTTTTCCAAAAAGAATTTGTAATAGTGTTGACCATATAGTAATAATAAATTAATAAAATGAAATAATTTCTGGGGTTATCATTAAAAAGATACAAAAAATAAAAATAAAAATATATAGTATTTTTTAAACATAAACTATGCATAAAATTGACTGCAGGTGAAGATAAGATTATTTACCCCAAACAGTAAGATAGTTTATCCCAGGTATTTTTAGTTTTTAAATAAGAATTTAAATAAGTAGATATTTCTGCAGAAAATGGATGAATTGTGGCTGCTCTGAAAATGGTATCCAATTCTGGGATGTCACTATGTGGCCTGCAGGGATGCTGGGGTGCAGAAGCCTACTCTCCACCCCCAATACAAGCTCTGGAACATTAGAGATCAATAGAAGGTAAGTAGGTGATGGGGAGGAAATTACTGGACCTAATGGGGGTGGGAAGTAGGCCCAAGTCCTGTGGGGACCCAGTGGGTGGGAAAGCAAGCTAAAGGCTTGTAGGGATCCTGGAAGATGGGAAGAGGAGCACAAGGTACCTCAGTTGATGGGGGAGGCTCTGAAAGGTGCAGGCCAGTTGGGTGTGGGCCTGCACCAGCCCTCTTTGGCCATCCCCTACTCTGAGGCATCCCATGCTCCATTTAATAACTATTCAGTTGCTTAACTGCTTTGGGAAGAGCAAGAGTGGAGGTCACGTGAAGCGATCATGTAGGTGCATTACTTAACAATCATCATGATTTGTGACCATAATAGATAGGTTCAATTATGGTTGTAAGTTGAGATCTACCAGCATTTGGAATAATCATAGCCTTGAGCCACTGCATAATCTCATGGGACCAAGAAGTGCATAATCCCCTCATGAACAGCCAAACCAAGGCACTGGCTACAAGGGCAGTCAATGCTGTATTCACCTCATTAGCAGGCTTGGTCTTGTGCAGTTAGAATTAACATCTCTATCTCTTTCTTCAATTTTCATGTTCTTAATAATTGCCAGATCTCATTCTTATCAGCTAATCTTTTTCTTGACTTCAGTGTGCTCGATGTTGCCAGCTTGAAGGATGCTCAGGTATTTGTGATGATTAGCTTCATTCATGTAATATCTTGATTCCTTCAGTTTTCACTATTTTTCCCCATTTGATGGTAAGCACGACACATTTGTCTAGCCCAAACTCTATTGCAATATCTTGTCTATATATACAGTGTTGAGCAGCAATTCCATTTCAGATGGTATTTTTCCATACAGCTTCAAATTGTCCATGTAAAGTGGATGGATAATTTGGCAGGTGTTTTTGATGTTTATAGCTATGGCCCAAGTTATTCAGTATATTAACTTGTCCAACTCTATTGCCATTGACTAGCAACCATGTCTTTCATTATGTCATTGATATTTGCACAAAGCTTTTGATGTTTCTACTGACTCTACTGGCAACATCAAGCACATTGAAGTTATTTCTAGGCACTTAATTATCCAATCATGTGGCAGAGAATAAAATAACTTTATTTTATTTATTTTAGTTTGTCAAGCATGTATGAGAAAACAATTATAAGCATAAACATACATATAAACAGGTATAAGTATATACATAATAAATGAGTACGAATAAATGGGAACAGTAGGACAGGGACAGTAAGCTAGTGCTCTTATGCACGCTCCCTTACAGACCTCTTTGGAATGGAGTGAGGTCCATGGTAGACAGTTTAAAGTTTTGGGGCAGTGGTGGGATTCAATTTTTTTTACTACTGGTTCTGGCTTGGTGGGCGTGGCAGGGGAAGGATACTGTAAAATCTCCAGTCAGAGGTGGTATTTGCCAGTTCTCCGAACTACTCAAAATTTCTGCTACCGGTTCTCCAGAACTGGTCAGAACTTGCTGAATACCACCTCTGTTTTGAGAGTTTGAGCAGGGGTGGTATGCTACCAGTTCTGCCTGGCTCTATAGAACTGGTAGCTCTGAAGAGCAGCAGACACAGAACCGGTTCTGCTGCTTTGTGTGGCATAGCTGAGGTTGAAAAAGCAGTAAAAAAGTGGTTTTTCAAATGCTGCGGCACCCACAAGTAGCGCTTATTAGCTGTCCGGGTGGCACAGCTTTAGGTGTATTATGCGCGCGGAAAATGTAATCACCGAACTGGTAGTAACACCAGTTGAATCCCATCCCTGGGTTTGAGGATGTAACAACAGAGTCAGGTAGTGAGTTCCAGGCATTGAACACTCTGTTGCTGAAGTCTTATTTTCTGCAATCAAGTTTGGAGCTGTTTACTTTGAGTTTGTATCTATTGTTTCTTGTAATCAATCCATGCTACATTGAAGTTGGTCTTCCTTCTCTTGAAATTTTACAGAACTGTAATGTCAATTAGAAGTTGGTCTTTTGTTCATCTTATACAGTATTTGGGTGGTTTTCTGTCTGCTGAGGTAGAAACAGCTTGTTTTCAATTAGATGGACTGCATCAGCTAACACATCATTTAGCAATTTAAAAGTTGTTGGTAAGCAAGTATTAAGTCTGTAGTTGCCTGGTGCTCCCCTTTTGCTAGATTTTTTTTTTTACAAGTGCTGACCAATTCTTGATCTTTCTTGCCTTTTTCTCCACTATTTCTCCTGTTATTACAAGTTCTTTCATTTTATTTTTTATTTTTTTTCATATCCTTTAACAAAGCTGGGTTCTTATTATATTTCTTTGAATTATCCCATATTTTTGCCCCAAACTGCACTTTTCTTCCTTGTCAGGTGCTGACTTATTCGCTGCAGTCTCTCCATTGATGGGCTGGTAGAAATATTTTTTAATTAGATGGAAATTGCAGATTATGCCTATAATTTGCAATTTGAGCTTCATATCAGCTAATCTTCTTGGCTATATTTGTTATTTGCTGCTTTTTAAAATTTCTTGTGCTTGCTTGATCTATCTTATTTCTAAATGCTTTAATTGAATAAGTTTCCTTTGGTCGTCTTGTTCTTCAACTTCTTTTCTTGCATCTGTTCTAGTTACTACTTTAGTCTAGTAATCTAGTTTAATACTTCTTCTAGCTTTTTCTTTGGAAAAAGCTTCAATACAGCCAACTTATTCTGTTTGTGTGCATATGCGCATACATGAACATGCACACATGCGCATATGCCATTCAAGATACTCAATTATTCTTTGCTTCAATTCTTCTACTAGTTAGAGGGCTTTCTGAGACAAAGGAAAGGGTGCCTAGTTTCCAAATAAAATTTCTATGTCTCTGCTGGCTTCCTCCACTGCCAATTCTCTTTGGTTTGGCTGTATAATCTGAATTATTTTTTGCAAGGCTTTGATTTCTTTGCCATGGGAAGATCTTTGCAATTCTTCCAATTCTACTTCTGTGAATACTTTATTTCATATTATAAATAGACGCTGATTTGCTAGCCTCTGTTCTGTTATTTCTGATTCTGGATGTTGTTTTTTCCAGAACTGGTGCATTCATTTCAAATATCCTCTTTTTATTGGACTTGATCCATAATAACAAATCATTATTCATTTGGTTTCAATCACTGTATATTTGCAATAGGTAAACACTTTTTTTTTCAATAGTTCTGCAGTTGCTGGCCATGGTTGCTCAGCCAACAGTTCTGTGGCCCATTTTTTATCAGATGTCCAGGTATTCCAACATCTATGCAGTTTTTGTTGATCCAGATGATGACTGAGTCTGTGTGGGCTTCTGTAATATGGTGATTCTGTAATTACCATATTTTAAGTGGTTTTAAAAGTTGGCTCTTTAAGTATGTTCCTCTTGAGATCACAATTCCATTGAGAAATTTTTTTTTAAAAGTTACAAAATTAGTGAACCAGTCAGAGGTGGTATTTGGTGGTATCTCCGAACTACTCAAAATTTCCACTATTCGTTCTCTAGAACTGGTCAGAACCTGCTGAATACCATCTGACACTACATATACTCAACATATAACAACTTATCAATGTCAACCAGATATATCTATATTCCATATCTTACCCCATTTTCTATAAATTCATTTTTAGTACTTGTTAATCAGCAAAAGTCCAGCAAAAGTTAACAAAAACACCTACCAACTAAGTGTAAAATCCCCTTTTCCATTTAGCTTAAATACCTCTCATCCCTCTCTCGAGGACTTCACAAACCCTCAGATGAAACATTTCCTTTAAAAATATAGCATGTGTTTCAATAATTCACCTTCAAAGTCTTGTTTTGTATTTGAAATTAGCACTTAAAATTATTTCAGAAACCATTTTAAAGCCACTATGTGTTGTCTATTGTGAAAAATTGCAAAAAAATTTTTTTTACAAAGCTGAAAAGATACAATTTTCAATCTTTTTACATGGATTGAAAGAAAATTCATTGGATGGGTAAGTTTGCAATAGATTTTTCAATCTTAAAAAAGAAAACGAACAAAAATTAAAGTTCCAAAATGGTTAATAAAAAATGAAGTTTGGTTGAACCTAGAGCCCATAAAGGGCTGCATATATGGCTATAATATAATATAATATAATATAATATAATATAATATAATATAATA